GACCAGGCAGTGCCACTGTGAAAGGGATCTAAAGAGAATGAACTGTAAGACTTTGAACAGTTTTAATTTTGATATCTTGAATGTATTAAGTTTTCATGAACTGAGCGTTTAAATTGGCTTTAAGTAAATATAGAAGAAAACACATGTCCTTGTTAGTAGATGGAATATTAAGGGTTGGGTTTCCCTTTGTTTTGTATACTTAGCAGTACATTCCAAAAATCCCTACACGGAATGTTCCCCAAACACTCAGTATCACAGCATGTGCCTATTAAGCAGTATACACTTACCTGATACTCTGTCTAAAACGGACTCACATTGGGTTCCAGTGAACAGGTCAAGGCATGAGCACTGGGTCCCAACTAAGGTGCCTCCATTTAAACATGTTACTAAGAAAGAAAGAAAGAAAGAAAGCAATAATTCAACATGTGATTAGTAGAGAATTGCAAAACCACAACAGGTGTAATAGCAAAACCACACAACTACTATAGCTCTGTGTGCTCTAATTGTGGTCAAGAATTGTCATATCGAATGAACCAGCAAAGAATAAATTTGGTCAGCCAGCATACAAAACAAATAAAATAAACAAACATTTTAAAAGAGTTTACATTGAATAGCCACATGTGTCTTATTTATTGATACAGGTGACAATTATTTCAAATACCCGCTTGGATGATTGTCACTATTACAGTACCCTCATTGACCGTTTTCCCCTATATTTCTGAACTTGTGACATCTCAAAATGTTTGAATTATCCCTCACTTTCAATCCAGGCGACGATGGCCACCAGGTCAGATTGGGAGCGCAAGTCTCCTTAAGACATCCACACGTGGATTAAAATTCAGCTTGTTCAGCAGGGACTGACTGAATTTCTATTCTTGTTTTGGGCAGGCTGGTTGTATCCAAGTCGATCTATTGATCAACTTGTGTACAAACAGCTTGTCGGATAATTTTTTCCTTACTGATGAATGTACTCTGATGCAGACTTTGAATGTGTGGATGGGGGAATCAAGTCATTTACTTTTTTCATTCAATCAAAAAATGACTCATGTATGGCCAGTCTTAGTGAACAGACAGCAATAAATATTCCCCTAGTGATTCAAACCCTAATCCACCCTATCCAAAGTCTTTATGAAAAAAGTTTAGGCTTTGGATACTGTCACGTCTATGGTAGTGAGCTCTATAAAAACCACTGCTCAGGGTTCCCCAGGGCGCGGAATCTAAGCCCCAGCCTGCTTGTTCACCAGGGCCCCTGATGGGGGGGATGGACTTGCAGCAGGCTGGGACCAGGTCACGGCCCCCAGGTACACCCAGCTGAGGTAGAAGACACCACCAGCAGGAGCAGAGTACAATGGGAGTAGACTCAGGAGATCCAGTAGGCTAGCCGAGGTTAGGACAGACGAAAGACAGGCAATGTCAGGAATTAAGCCGAGGTCGGTACACGGATAGACAATATAGGAGGAATGTCAGGGACAAGCCAGGGTAGGTACACAGATATACTTGAACAGATTCACAGAGGCACACAGGGAAGCTCAGACAACAAACGTTGCTCAGGCAATGTGGCCTAGTCTGAGCACATCTTAAATAGACAGGCAGACAAGGAGGTGGGACAGGAAGTGATGGAAGGAAAGGACATAAAACCCAGGGAATAGCAGACGACGCCCATAGGTGAGTACAGAACCACACACAAGCAAAGGAATCAAGAGCAGCATGGAGGTAAGTGTAAACACACCAGAGGCTGCAAGCTAACTTGTGATAGTACCCCCTCTCTTATGAGGTCTCCCCACTTTTTTACGGATACTCTTGGTAGAGAGCCAAACCTTGTCACCCAGGAAATATTTGGGACTCACCCGGTAATGACAATCTGCAGCTACTTTGTACTTAGAAGCTGACAGATGTACGCTCTTGGAAACATTTGCCTCAGAAGAAGTAAGAATAGGAGAACATACGACAGGAAGCTGGATTGGAGCCGACACCAATAACTGGGATGAAGGGTCTGGTGAGGAGGCTGCCAGGGAGGGCACAGAAGTAGGTGTGAACATTTTGATTTGTACAGTGGGCAAAACAGGCTGTGCAGAACAGGAACCTGGGGTGATACAAGGAACAGAGGACACTGTAGGATGTATGGGAGCAGGACAGGGGACAGAAGGCACGGTAGGGTGTAGGGGGGCAGGGCAGGGATAGAGGGTTCAGCAGCTACTAATGTGGAACCCACGGCTGGCTCCAAAGCAGCTGAAGGGAGTTTTGGGGTCTCAGCATGCAGGGCACATGAATCTGGGAACTCAGATGGTACAGGGGTCACAGATGTTGGAACCTCCACCCTTCCGAAAGGTTGCGATATAGGAGCTCTGAGCTGCAACATATGTAAAGGGGCCGAAGATTTGGGCAGCAAAGAGGGTAAGGAACTAGAAGCGGACAGCCCCGGAAGGGGGCCCAAAATAGGAGTAGGCATGGGAGCAGCCTTACTACAAGAAACATCTTGTAAGGTCTGGCAATGTTGAGGGAGCATCGGAGAGGTGGTGGCCACAGCCACGGGTATAGTGCGAGGTGGGCGGACAGAACAAGACCTAATTAGATGACCTTCAGCCCCACAGTAAAGGCATAGACCAAATCTTAGGCAACGCAATCGCTCTTGTGGAGTAAGGTGTGTTCGGCCTAACTGCATGGGCTCTTCAGACATCGGTACTGTTACAGAGGTAAGTGGATCAGGGACTTTCTGGAAAACAGGAGCAAAAGAACCCAATGGAGGGCGACGTGGATGAGCCCTTTCCAGATCTTACTCCTGGAAGCAGATATCGATCTGGATGCTAAGAGCAATCAAGTCATCCAGGGAGGAGGGTATGGTTCTCCCAGCTAGTTCATCCTTAATATGGTCTGCTAGACCCTGCCAAAAGGTTGCAGAGAGGGCTTCATTATTCCATGCCAGTTCCGACGCTAAGGTGCGAAACAGAACTGCATATTGTCCAACAGTCCTGCTACCTTGACAAAGCCGAAGAAGAGCTCCCGCAGCAGATGAAGTCCTGCCGGGCACATCGAACGTTTTTGGGAAAGCTTGCAGGAAGGCTGGGAGACTGGAGATAGTGTGGTCTTGACACTCCCAGAGTGGCGAGGCCAAGCCAGTGCTTCAGCTGAAAGGAGGGAGATCATGTATGCCACCTTGGAACGATCGGTAGGGAAACGATCGGCTGCTAATTCAAAATGAATCGAGCACTGATTGATGAAGCCTCTACAGGCCTTAGGATCACCAGAGAAGTGGGGTGGTGGAGGCAGCTGGAGTCTCAAAGGACCGTGTTCCACTGGGGGAACAGCGGAAGGTGGAGTAGCGTGTATCGGAGCAGAGGGTGAGGAAGTGGACTCAAGCTGTAGCTGATCCAACCGGGAGGAGAGTTCCTGCAGACAGCGCATAATTTGTTCTTGGAAGGCCTGTTGGACCTCGACTCTCAGCGCCAAAGCCTGAAGTTGTTCCAGGACAGGCTGCGGGGTCTCCGAAGAGCTCATGGCCTGAGCAAACTGTCATGTCTATGGTAGTGAGCTCTATAAAACCACTGCTCGGGGTTCCCCAGGGTGCGGAATCTAAGCCCCAGCCTGCTTGTTCACCAGGGCCCCTGATGGTGGGGATGGACTTGCAGCAAGCTGGGACCAGGTCGCGGCCCCCAGGTACACTCAGCTGAGGTAGAAGAGACCACCAGCAGGAGCAGAGTACAATGGGAGTAGACTCAGGAGATCCAGTAGGCTAGCCGAGGTTGGGACAGACGGAAGACAGGCAATGTCAGGAACGAAGCCGAGGTCGGTACACGGATAGACAATATAAGAGAAATGTCAGGGACAAGCCAGGGTAGGTACACAGATATACTTGAACAGATTCACAGAGGCACACAGGGAAGCTCAGACAACAAACTTTGCTCAGGCAATGTGGCCTAGTCTGAGCACATCTTAAATAGAGCATGGAGGTAAGTGTAAACACACCAGAGGCACAAGCAAAGGAATCAAGAGCAGCATGCAAGCTAACTTGTGACAGATACACTTTGGGCAACACAGTGGTATCATCTCTCACCCCCAATCTTCGCAATGGACAATGAAGGAGCAGCAGCAGACTGATGTCTACTGACTCTTGGCTCTGCTCCCTTCCCCTATCAGTACCCCCATTATCAGGTCATTTTCATGCAGCAGACCTGATGGCTCACTGTTTTGAGCTGTGGGATGTGATGGATTGCTGCCAGGTCAAATTCAGGTACTTACATTGCTTGTATAAAAAAAAACAAAAAAAAAACTTGACCTTTCAGGTTTCAGGCTGTAGTGGTGGTCCCCTTGCCCGCACCTGACCTTTCTCTAGCTTTTCTATCCCTTTCTATGTTTTGCCCTTTCTTTTCTTCTCTTTCCTTTCCCTTCCTCCCATAACCTTATAAGGACGAGTGTTTATTTCATATTTGGTCTGTCGTCCTGGTGGTGTTGAGTGTCTATCGACTCTCCAACTTGAATTAACATTTCCCTTTTTTCATATATGCTCCATACTGGCTGATTTCTATGATCCAAGACCCCTGCTGAGACCTCTGTAACACACCTACTGACAACATCTACCAACCTACTTGGTTTGTCTTTCTTTTATGAAGCATACTGGACAGATATAATATGTTCCTTTTTTATTGTATCATTTTTGTTTGCACATATTGTTACATGCACTAGCCTTTGGTTGTTTCTCTTTCATTGCTCTTCTATATGCTCAGATTATCTTGGACTGGATTCGGACACTAACTATTGTACTTGATCCTTTCTTTGGAAACACCTTAACAAGGCTTATTCTTCTGTAATGTTTGTACTTATTTGTCTGTAAATAAAGTCGTATTCTTAAAAAAAAAAAAAAAAAAAAGAAGTTTTATATATATATATATATATATATATACACACTATATTGCCAAAAGTATTGGGCCCGCAGTCCAAATCATTGGACTCAGGTGTTCCAAACACCTCCATGGTCACAGGTGTATAAAATCAAGCCCCTAGACATGCAGACTACTTCTACAAACATTGGTGAAAGAATGGGTCGCTCTCAGGAGCTCAGTGACTCCAAGCGTGGTCCCGTGATAGGTGGTCACCTGTGCAATAAGTCCATCCGTGACATTTCCTGGCTACTAAATATTCCACGCTCAACTGTTAGTGGGATTATAACAAAGTGGAAGCAACTGGGAACAACAGCAACTCAGCCACCAAGTGGTAGGCCACGTCACATGACAGAGCGAGGTCAGCGCATACTGAAGCGCACAGTGCGCAGAAGTCACCAACTGTCTGCAGAGTCAATAGCTAAAGACCTCCAAACTTGGTGTGGCCTACAGATTAACACAACAACAGTGCATAGAGAGCTTCATGGAACGGGTTTCCATGGCTGAGCAGTTGCATCCAAGCCTTACATCACCAAGTGCAATGCAAAGAGTCAGATGCAGTGGTGTAAAGCACGCCGCCACTGAACTCTAGAGCAGTGGAGACGTGTTCTCTGGAGTGATAAATCACGCTTCTCTCTGTCTGGCAATCCGATGGATGTGTCTGGGTTTGGCGGTTGCCAGGAGAACAGTACTTGCCTGACTGCATTGTGCCAAGTATAAAATATGGTGGAGGGGGGATTATAGTGTGGAGTTGTTTTTCAGGGGTTGGGTTTGGCCCCCTAGTTCCAGTGAAGAGAACTCTTAAGGCATCAGCATAACAAGACATTTTGGACAATTTCATGCTCCCAGCTTTGTGGGAAGAGTTTGGGGATGGCCCCTTCCTTTTTCAACATGACTGCGCACCAGTACACAAAGCAAGGTCCATAAAGACATGATGAGTGAGTTTGGGGTGGAGGAACTTGACTGGCCTGCACCTCAACCCAATAGAACACCTTTGGGATGGATTGGAGCAGAGACTTTGAGCCAGGCCTTCTTGTCTGACATCAGTGCTTGACCTAACCAATGCGCTTCTGGAAAGAATGGTCAAACCTTCCCATATACGTAAGTTTTACTCAAACATAGGCCGTTCGTGTTTCATTGAACACACGAACAGTAAGGGCATTCGGCGGGCAGTTTGTCCATCGCGTCCCAAAATGCACTGTACTCTGACAGTGCAATGTGATTGGCCAAAGCAAAGTATGTGTGTTGGGGAAGGTGGGGGGTTCACAAGAGTATGTAGCCAACCTCAATATAATCCACATTAATTTAGTGCATTATAACAAAGTATAGTACTGTATTTCAAGCAATTCCCTTTACATAGGGAGTTGACTGTCAGATCTCCCTAATCCCACCCTTTGGCACATAGCAAAGTCCTCATTATTGGCCATTATAATCCTGACCACAGCTGAAAGGCCAGGCAGTGCATTAGGGTTGCAAAGAATGAATCCTGGAAAATGTCCACATTTATTTGCTGGGTCAGCTGTTTGCAAACCTGTAGAATCTGCCGCAATTCCATGGTAGCAGTGAACCTGAACTTAATCACTCCTGCTTTTTATCGCTCCTTTCTGAATCCTGTTGTGCAAGGAACTGCAGGAGTCTAATATAAAGAAATACTGATGAAATATTTATTAGCACATTGAAAGTGATTGTAGAGGCAAAATTTTGTTTTTTATTAAAATAAAAAAGATGTTATACTTACCTGCTTTGTGAAAGGATATTACGCAGAGCTGGTCCCTTATTTCTTCTTTGGCAGTCCTCTGACAGTGCTGTCTGCTCTTTTTTCTAGCAGGTGTCCCCATAGCAAACTGTGCACTATGGGGGCACCTGTGCAGGTGCACTCCCGAGCTGGGCTGTGTGCATCTTTAGACACACACAGTGCAACTTGGCCATGCCCCCCTCATTCCCTCCTCACAAGATTTGACTAACAGCAGCAGGAGCGTTTGGCTTGTGATGCTGCCTGTGTGTCATGTGAGAAGAGGAAGTCAGTGGAGGGGGGCTACAGACGGAACAGCAGAGGAGGCAGGTAAATGTTAAGGGGAGGGGGGAGAGTTAGTGGAACATTTGTTTACTTTAATGCAGGACATGCTTTAAGGTAAAAAATGTTATGCTTTCAGAACCACTTTAAGGATTTCCTAGTGAATACATCAACAAGCTACATAGGGGTATTTCTTATTTGCTTGCAATCCTGCTGAAAATTTTGGATCTAAGAAAAATTCCATGACCAATGTGGGCCATCAAGACCATCAAGTCTTTGCTAAATTAAGTCCAAATACAACGAAATACATCAGTGAAACAATCATTTTACCACAGTCTGTTCTTTCTGCATATATTTTACAGTTGACAGAGAATAATGACTAAGGATGAGTTTTGAGTTTGTCTCGATGCAGGATTTGCAGGGAATTTTTCCTGTTCTTGGTCTGCCAAACTAAATGGCCAGATTTGGCTTGCTACCTTGTACAAACCTCTGATTGTTGCCACAGCTGAAATAATTTATTTAATGGCTGTATTACTACCGCCACTAAATAACCACTTCCCACTGTGTAGTCCACAAGCTTCTCTGGTTGCTAGGATGCAGGTGGCCATCAGCATCCTAGCAACCATTGATTCCATTGCCTTCCTGCTTGTTTCAATAATAAACAAGTTGGTGGGCATCCAGGTGACATTTTTTTACCATGTTCGATATAAATGACAGTATATGGAAGCTTAGAACATTAGCTGAATCAAAACCAAAACAAAAAAAACAACAAAATAATAATTTTTTTGTTCTGATTTTGGTAATATCCTAAGCTTACTTATACCACTCTTTACAGTTGCAAGAAAAAGTATGTGAACCCCTTGGGATTACGTGGAGTTTTGCATGAATTGGGCATAAAATGTGCTCTGAACGTCATCTAAGTCACAACAATAGAAGAACACAGTCTGCTGAACATAATACTACACAAACATTAGATGTTGCCATGGTTTAATTGCACATAACATGTAAACATTCACAGTGCAGGGAGGAAAAAGTATGTGAGGCCCTAGCTTAATGACTTCTCCCAGAGCTAATTGGAGCCAGGAGTGAGCCAACCTTGACTCCAATCAGTGTGATGATATTGGATGTGTTGCTGACAGCTGTCCTGCCCTTAAAAAATACACACCTGTTTAGGGTTTACTGGTTTCAAGAAGCACTGTCTGATGTGAACCATGCCTTGCAGAAAAGAGCTCTCAGAAGACCTACGATCAAGAATTGTTGACTTGAATGAAGCTGTAAAGGGTTACAAAAGTATCTCCAAAAGCCTTGATGTTCATGTGTCCACGGTAAGACAGACTGTCTACAAATGGAGAAAATTTAGCACTGTTGCTACTCTCCCTAGGCGCGGTCGTCCTGTAAAAATGACTGCAAGAGCACAGCGCAGAATGCTGCATGAGGTAAAGAAGAATCCCAGAGTGTCAGCTAAAGACCTACAGAAATCTCTGGCACATGCTAACATTTTTGTTGACACATCTACAATAAGGAAAACATTAAACAAGAATGGAGTACATGGGAGGACACCACGGAGGAAGCCATTGCTGTCCAAAAGGAATATTGCAGCATGTTTGAAGTTTGCAAAAGAGCACCTGGATGTTCCACAGCACTACTGGCAAAATATACTGTGGACAGACGAAACCAAGATTGAGTTGTTTGGGAAGAAACACACAACACTATGTGTGGAGAAAAAAAAGGCACAGCACACCAACATCAAAACCTCATCCCCACTGTAGAACATGGCAGAGGGAGCATCATGGTTTGGGGCTGCTTTGCTGCCTCAGGGCCTGGACGGATTGTTGTCATTGATGGGAAAATGAATTCCAGAGTTTATCAAGACATTTTGCAGAAAAATGTATGACCATCTGTCCGCCAACTGAAGCTCCGCAGAGGATGGGTGATGCACCAGGACAATGACCCAAAGCATACAAGTAATTCAACAAAACAATGGCTGCAACAGCACAGAATACGCCTTCTGGACTGGCCCAGTCAGAGTCCTGACCTCAACACGATTGAAATGCTGTGGCATGACCTGAAGAGAGCGATTCACACCAGACATCCCAAGAATATTGCTACACTGAAACAGTTTTGTGAAGAGGAGTGGTCCAAAATTACTCCACATCGTTGTGCAGGTCTGATCTGCAACTACAGGAAACGTTTGGTTGAGGTTATTGCTACCAAAGGAGGGTCAACCAGTTATTAAGTCCAAAGGTTCATATACTTTTTCCTCCCTGCACTGTGAATGTTTACATGTTTATGTGCAATTAAACCATGGCAACATCTAATGTTTGTGTAGTATTATGTTCAGCAGACTGTGTTCTTCTATTGTTGTGACTTACATGACGTTCAGAGCACATTTTATGCCTAATTCATGCAAAACTCCACGTAATCCCAAAGGGTTCACATACTTTTTCTTGCAACTGTATATCATATTATGTTTGAAGTATGGGTATTTTTTAGTGTCCTTTTTCCTTTTTGTCTAGGAAGGACGTTTCCATAGGGCCTTTGCACCTCCTTATATTTATTGACCATATATGGTCATGACCATATTTTGTAACTGACATTCAGCAGCCGGCCGAAGAGCTGCGGTTGTCGGGCTAGAGTGCAAGCTGAGGGGATCGCACACAGGCTGTCATGTTCATGTCATCGGGTCATTGTTCTTCAGGATTGGGACAGGATCTATATTGCTGGATGATTTTCCATGGCTTTTCACCATGGGACATGTTTTTTTTTTTAAATTCCTTCTCATGGAGTGCATATGTATAATTACATTCTACAATTGTGTTTGTGAAAGAGTAACCAAGGATATTATGTACTCCTTACTCATTCACATAAGTGATATGGATATCTGGGGAACTCCTATTTTAAAGGAGGATTCCAAATTCCAGTAAATCCCCCCCTGCAGACCATCACAACCACAAAGCCCGCCGGCAAGGTAGCCACAGTTTTTTCTTTTTTTGCTGGCTGACATCATTGACCATATATAGCGTTGACCACATGGCCCAGGTTCCCCTGGCTGCTTTATTTACAAACAGTAGTTTAAGATCATTTAATGGAAAAAAAATTTTAAATATGAATTTTGCTTGAGTACACACCCTACAGGTGTGCCACTTCACAGACAGATGTAGAGCACCCCCCAAGCATATTACTAAAAGAACTTGTCCACATTTAATGTTTTGCTTTAGGACTTATTAAACAACCTGCTCCCTACAAACAGTATTCAGTAAAAAAAAACTTTTTGAAAATGGTACATGCTTCCCCTGGCATTGCACAGATTCCCATGTTTTTGTTTGATGACCCTTTTCTTAGCAGCCTTGAAAATGTGCCAAGTTAATTTTCAAGCTTTGCCTCCTATTGTCCTCTATGAAGTTTGCATTAAAGTTAGCAATCTGCACATTTTCTGATGAGCTAGCCTAACCTCCTGTGGATCAAACTGGGGCAGATTTGTCTATCACTAATAGTAACTTACTTGTGGAAGAGGTTGAAAGAGTTGTGGAAGTTGTAGTAATGGAGGTCGTTGTTGGCTTTGTAGATAAAGTCGTCTC